GCCGAAGTCTGACAGGCAGGCCCCGTGGTCCTGGCGGAGCAGGACATTGGAGGCCTTGATGTTGCCGTGGACAACTTTTCCCGGAACGTGCAGGTGGCCAGACCCCTCGCAGTGCCCAGCGCTATTCTCATCCGGTTGTCCCAGTCCAGCGGCGTGCGGCCCGACCCTCTGCTGCCTGCGAAAATCGCAAACCGGCGAGGTCCGGTCAATTACAGTAACATATGCGCTGGGATAGATGCAGTGAAATACTGTTTATGTCCCTACAATTTTTTGGATTATGCAATTTAATGACAGGATCTAGAATTCCAAAGCGAAAAGGGCCTCATGGCTTGCAAGTTGTTGTTAAATGCAGCGGAGAAGAGAGAAGGAAGTTAGTAGATTCCAATGTTCACCAATTCGAATGCTAAAACCAAATTTCTATCACTTTCAATTTTAGAAAATCGCCCCATGAATTTAGAACTTCTTCAATTGCACCCAGAATTTTCTGAAAAGTATTGTCAGTGGTAAATTATGACAACATAAAAATAAGAAAACTTTCAGACTGATGGCCAGTTCTTGTTTTCTAGTTACCCATACTAAAAAAGTGAACTACAATAGAGGGCATGAAAAATAATGATTAAAAAGCAAAAAACACAAAATAGAACCTCACATGCTCATCATGCTGCCTAGTCAAAAGTAATCATTACTCCTGGACAGTTTGGGAAATGTCCAATTTACCTCCGTGGATAATAAAGTATTACATGTTAGAATGAACAGGATTTTTAAAGTCTGTCGTCAAATCGCCCGCTAATAAAGGGGCTCAAAGCATGTCGGTTGAACCATGCCGATCACTTTCTAAATGCTGGTTTTACGGATAAATAAATAATAAGTATATGTATATATTAATTATGCAATAAATAAATATTTGTGCGCAGACAGGCAATATAACGTAAGAAAGCATAAAGACCACCTAATCTTGCGCCCAGCGGGCCGCGTTTCGCACCAACCCAGAAACATTCGCGTTTTCCGGGTGGCTATCAGCAGATGGCATAAAATAAATATATAATGTCAAAATTAAAAGAGAGAGATATATGTAAACAGGAAAAATAGAATTTCCATTTTTGCAAGCTCAGACTTCTTCACCGCAAAAATGCAGAAAGCCGAAAATGTAGCTCGAATTGTAATGTTAGAGAGAGAGGCGGAGAGAGAAAGTGAGATTCACCATGAAGAAGAGCGGATAAGCTGCCGGCAGGCATGAAATCGAAGACAAGCAACTTCTCGTCCTTGGAGTAGTAATAAGCCCTGAGAGGAAGAACATTATTGTGCTTGATTTTGCCTAAAACCCCATCTGAGTTTCGAATTCCTTCTTTGTCACCACCACGTCCTTCAATCTCTTCACCACCACCGTCGTTCCCTCCTCCAGCACCGCCTTGTACGACGTTCCCACGCTTCCCTTCCCTAAAACTTCCGCAGAAGCTCTCAATAGATCCTCCAAATCGAAGCTGTAAACGCCACCATCAAAGAAAACCAGCTTGTTTCTCTCTCCCTCGGCCGAAAGGCCGGTCACGTCGTCCTTCGAGGACGAGGTCCCGGGATCCGCAGCACCCTCCGCGGCCCCCCTCGCCGTTACTGGTGGTTTCGGTGTTTTCGGCCCTCTGGCCGTTGTTGACCCCTTTCGCAACAGAGGATCAGAATTAGAAGCAATAAGAGGAAAATGAAAGCAGCCCCGACTGAGATTCCGATAATGGCGGCTGTGGAGAGCTTTTTGGACTTTTTGTGAGGTGGGCTTGGTGGCACAATTACAGATGGTGACGGCGCCGGAGAGGGAAAGAATGAGCTGTTGCAGGGCTGCAACGGTCCGCCACAGAGATTGATGTTTCCGGCGAATGCAGATTTGGGAAATTTCGATAATGTTCTGGGGATTGAACCGTTGAGATTGTTGTTCGAGACATTGAAGTTCACTAGGCTTGCTTGATGCTGGGTAAGTTACCTGTGAAGCCATTGTTCTCTAACAAAAGCCACGTCAAGTGGGTCAGATTATTGACGGAGAATGGTATCGACCCCGTGAAGTTGTTGCTGGAGAGATCTAAACGAGTCAAGCGAGTTAACTCGGGATGCTCTGCGGAAACCCGCCGGAGAATCGGTTGTCCTGGAGGTAGAGGCTGCGCAGGAGCTTCAGATTGGAGAAATCGGCCGGAATCTGACCAGATAGGCGGTTAGACCGGAGGCTGAGAGCTCTGAGCTGGGTCAGGTTCCCGATCGTGTTCGCCGGAATTTCACCGACAAGGCCGACGCCGGGGAGTCGGAGAGATTGGACGAAGGAGCGATTGGCGTCGCACCGGACGCCGACCCAGGTGCAGGCCGAGTCGGACTGGTTCCATTGGATGCGATTCTCGTGAGGGATCCGGAGATGAAAGCAAGAGGGCTTGCTTGTCCTGCGTCGGCTCGCAGTCAACTCGGTGGCTCAAAATCACCATCAACAGAAAAAGGCAGAAACTAGCAACAACTAATCCGTTTCTTGAAAACACTTCCGCCATTGATTTTGTTTCCTGTACCACGCAGCAAAAAATGGCAATTAAGGTTGTTTTTATTTGGGACCTTCAAGGAGAGGTCTCTGTTGCCTGCTTTGGACTGACCCAAAAGCAATTTTCCGATGATAGGCCATGAGCGAGAGTGAGGGACTTAGAGAGAGAAATGTATAGTGTTGGGACTAGAGAGCGATAGAGGAGAGAGAGAGTGGTTTCGTAACAAGAGAAGGCATATCACGGGTGCAGAAAAGGAGTGGAAAGAGCAGGTGAACAGAAAAGAATGTGCTGGCAGTTGTAGTAGTGAAAGCGTTTTTCCTGTTTTTAAAGTAGTTGTAGTAAAAAATTGTTTTCCATGCAGTCCCACTCTCACCCAGGGCGCGTGCGTAAATATAAAATCCTGGGCATTCTCACTCTCACCCAGGGCGCGTGCGTGGAGACAAAATTCTGGGCATTTCTTTTTATTTTCATTTATATGGCGATTTAATTAAAGGTCTAATCTTATGCAGATACTTTTTAAACTCGCTTGCTCAAGTTTATCTGCATTTTTGATGTAATAATAAAAATTAGATTGGGAAAATTATTTATTGTTTATGCAAATAGTTAATTATGATTGACATTATATGTGTAAATTTACAACAACATGTTCATGAATAACAAGAAAAAAAATTAGTAAAAGAAATTTAAACAAGTACTAGATCCACCAGTTATCCACCAAAAAAGATATTTTCAAATTCATAATTCAAAATTCAAAATTTGGAATTTTTTACCCCTTTTCCTTATAAGAGAAGAATATTAGGTGCTATTTGGTTTGCGAAAATGTTTTCTCTTTCATTTTCTATTTTTATTTTTGAAAAATAATTTTCATTTGAAGGTTTTCAAATTTTAGAAAATATATTTAGTTAGATTTGTCATTTTCTATTTTCAAAAATGAAAAAAAAGAAATATATTTGGTTAATTCAAATTTCAATAAATTGAAAATGAGGATTTAATTGAATAAAATTAAGGTTATAAAATTTTGATAGGGGTTTAATTGAATAAATTAGAAATTATGGGGTTTGGAAACAAAATTTGAAAAGTTTAAGAACTAAATTGAATAATAAAAAAGAAACGAGGGACCAAAATGAAATTTCACAAAAAATAAACTTTGGTCATCTTCAACTCTAACCAGGTTACAATTGGGTCAAAACGACACAATCGCAACCTAATTTCATTTCTGTTTGTGATTTCACTTTTTTGAAAAAAAAAATTCATAGATTTTCTAACTTTATGATCCAAATAATAATACCCTTAAATCAATTTGAAAAATTTCAATTCTATCGTTGAAATTTCATTACCCTTTTTTTGTTTGAGCAACAATTTATGCTAGGGCTTTTGGCACCATTTTCGCAAACCAAAGGTAAAGAAGGTTTTCGGATCTTTGAGTAAGGTGGACGACAACGGTGTTCAAATCTGTGGTCATCGGGAAGGTTGACGACAAACAAGATGAGAGAGGGAGAGACAAGGACGAGAAAGATGATAGAGGGAAGACTAAGATGAAGAGAGAGAGAGAGAGAGAAACGGCAACGAGAGAGGAGAGGAGAGACAACTTTGCTTCCTATGCCACCACGGCAAGAGAGAGAGGCTGACGAGAGAGGAGAGACAAGCATAGCAACAACTACATAAGTGATGCAGAAAAAGTATTAGAAAATGGAAGAATTTATATTTCTATTATCATGTTTTTAACTTTTTACTGAAAACAGAGAAAATAACAAAAAATTGTTTTATTTTTTCAACCAAATTTTAGAAAAATATTTTTTAAATATGAAAATAAAAACACTCAGTCAAATGCTGTTTCAAACCTGTTTTCTACTTTTATTAAAATGAAAACAAAATATAGGCCAAGCAAAAGGCGCTTAGCATTTCATTTTCCACTTTCTCACTTTATAGTTTTTACTTCAATAGAAAAAATTAAATAAATAAAAAATATTTCATCTAACTTACAAATAATTAAAATCTGTATATGCATTTACAGGGAAACGGTCATAAAAATTGAATTTTATATTTAATTTATAATGGAATTAGCATAGCTAGATGATATGGGTGACGCCAACTCTCCTCAATGGAGCGTAAAATTACAATTTGCGACTGCAATAGTCGTAACTGGAAGAGGCTCCATTCGTAATTTTTTAAACTTTTTTATTTTATTTTGTTATACACTATTATCACATTGATTATAAATGAAAAAATATCCGGAGTGAACTTATACAGTATTCCTTTCAGAAAAAAAAAAAATGCAGCATGTAAAATGACGGGATTCAAAGCGTTACAAATCTTCTCTTGTACAGAGTGAAAAGAAAACATTATATTATAAATTATATTATAATTAATAGTACTGTACACTTTAATAAATATATTTTTAAAAAATAAGATAATAATTTCATAACAAGTGATATTAACATAAATACTAAAGGATAGTAATAGTGTGACTTACATCAAGTATATTCACAGAGATAAGTAAAGTAGTGATAAAACCATGAACTTTATCTTAACAAATATGTTAATAATTAAAATAAAAAAATATGTCACAGAATCTCATATCGCATAAGATGAAAGAATAAAATTAGTTCTACGTAAGAACTTGTGTACACTAATTGGTGCATGTTTTGAGGAAATATAATGATCTTATATTTAGTAATTGGAGTGAGAAAATAAAAGTAAGATTTTGTAATATCTAAATAATTACGTATATTTTAAACTTGATTTTAAAACAGTCAGATAATTCATTGCAACTAGATGTTGCAGGTAGGGTAAACTGTCCATTATGTTGGCATATTTACAATAGATTAAAAATTCAATATTTCCATCATACGTACCTAGATTAAGCATCCATTCCAAGTTCAAACTATTATATCATCTCTGTACTTTCTTTCTTTCCCTTTCTTCATGTGGTGCTCTTCATTATAATTACTTAGAAAGTGAACTCGGGTAATGCAAATATTTATTCCTCAAGAATGATGAGAATCTGGAACCTTTCTATGCCACACGGTAAAAAAGTAACCCTTGATGCCAATTTACTATTCACTGTTTTTGCGAATTAGAGCATCACTAACCCTCCGTCTCCCCCTTATTTCCTTGGCACCTTCTAAGTAAAAATTAATATAAAATAGGTAGATAAATTATTTTAATTGTATGCTGTGTAAATAGTGTTCCATAATTATTTACAGTAATCATATACATGTCAAATAACTTTTTAGTTATCAATTTTTTTGATTTATGGTCAAATAATTAAACGGGAAAAGACAGATGAGTCCCTCCTGCTCCCAGATCCGACATGGTTTTATGGGACATAATTACAAAATTGGTAGTTAGACAAAAAGTGACTAAGTACTTAGATATGTTTTTTTTTAATTAAATTTTTTGGTCCAGAGAAGAAGTATCTGGAAACTGATGAATGTTTATTGTTAATTTTTCTCATTTTTCTCATCTGCCCATATGATTTGGTATTTAATGTATGTGTTTTTCATATTATTTTAATGCATAGGTAAGATTTTTGTTGATTTTGTTCTATTAGGAAGGTTGTTTTCAATTGTCTCCTCTAACCTTATGGGTCTTCTTAGCAGTAGGTTTGACAAATGTCAAGCCTCCTTTCATAAGTTATTTGAATTTTCAAAACTAAATTTCTTCATAACATTGGCAAACTCAATTTAATTTTCTTTTAAAAAATTAACTCTTTCAATACCCAAATTGTAATGGCCCTAAATTAACTTTTATCTAATAATTATTATATAATTTCTGGAATTTTGATGGATTAGGGGTGAAGTTGAAAATCTGAAAAGTTTCAGGCTATTCTGGAAACTAGGAGGTGTTAATTGAGAAGAACAAAACTAATTGGGGCTAGATGGAGACAGGGGAGAAACCTTCAGCTGGAAGTCGACCGAAGGTCCTCGAGCAAAAATTTGCTCCAATGGGAGTATGGCAGCTTGCCAGGTTTTGGGTATTTGTGCTAAGGGGAGAGGTGAGCTATTGTGTGTGTGTGTGTAATTTGAGAGTTGGAGTGAGAGAGAGAGGAATTGGAGCTGGGAGGAGCCGTGGCGTGCAACCAAATTTTCCAGAGAAAAACTGTGATTTCGAGTAATTTTGATCTGATTAAAGTTTGGAAATTGTTTCAGGGGCTTTGGAATTCTATTTCGTCATCTCTGAATCCTTCAAGTAAGTTAAAAATTTTTGGATTGTGAAGGTTTTTAGGATTCGGGTGTTTGTAGAGGCTTTGGGGTGGGTTTTTGTCTTGCCGAGTGAAAAAGAAAGGACCCGGATGGGTCCGAGTATTGTACAGGTCGGTCCGGGCTGTTGGGCCCGGACTCAGCCCAGGGGTGTTGCATGCCTACAGGCCTGAGCCACGGGCCAGCCCAGACAATGGTTGGGCTGAGTTGACTAACTAGGTCAACTCGGCCCAGTGAGAAAAAAAGGGTTAGAGTTTCTAGCATGTGTGGACCGACCAGTGTTGGCTGAGGATTTGACCAGCTGGTTCAAGGATTTTTAAATTGGTTTCTCAATGGTTGGGTCAATTCCTGGTCCATGGAGCTAAGGGCTATCAGAACTAGTGAGTTGGGGAATTTTGGATGGCCGGTTCAACCGCCAGTTCAGTGTGTTGCCCTATTAGGCAACCGGTTCACCAAATTTTATGCCGGTTCTTGGAAATTTGAACCAGTTCTTGTTTAATATGACAAAACCTAGCTAGCTATGAAATTTGGTGATTTTTTGAGTGACAAGTTCAAGGTAAACCGGGCTCGGTTTAGTGTGCAAGTTCTTAGGATTAGGGTTTTTGGCCAGTTTAGGGCTGGTTCAAGGCCTTTTGGGCAGTTTAGGCCGATTTCTCGGTTTTTGGACCTTTTAAATCCGATTTTGAGGATTTTGTGACCAATTCAATTTGGTGTGAGGTAGTTTTAGACCAGTTTAGGTTGGTTTAGGGGTTTTGGAGGTCAGTTAACTATGGTTTGAAGATTGTGGAGGCTGATTCTTTATGGGTGAGG